GGCGGGCCGGAACTGCAGTTTCCAGGGGCCCGAGGCCCGTGCCTTCGCCTCCGCAGGGCTGGAGAGTGGGGCGTCGGCCCGGGGCGGCTATTACAGCCCCGGCGCCCCTGCGGGCCAGGCCGAGCTCAGCCAGGAGCGCCAGAACCTCTTCACCGGCTACTTCCGCTCCCTGCTGGACTCCGACGACTCCTCCGACCTGCTGGACTTCGCCCTGTCGGCCTCCCGCCCCGAGTCCCGCAAGGCCTCGGGCACCTACGCGGGGCCTCCCAGCAGCACCTTGTCTGTCCAGCGGGGCCTGGCCTCTTTCCCCAGCCGGGCGGCCAAGGCCAGCCCCGTGGCGGTGGGCAGCAATGGGGCCAGCACGGCCCCCTCGTTCCAGCCGGTCCTGCCCGCTCGCCAGGCCTTCCCAGCAGGCCGAGCAGCAGGCTACGGCATCACGCCGGCCACCGCAGACTGCCGGGCGGAGCCCTTCCCGAAGCTGGCGCCCCCGCCGTCCGCCGTGGCCCGCTCGCCTACCGCCCACCCGCCTGCCACCACCTACCCCCCACAGTATGGCGGCTACGGGGCAGGCCAGGGCGTGTTCTCTGCGGCCAAGCCCTTCCCGGGCCAGGACTGCACCAGCAGCAAGGACTGCAGCTTTGCCTACGGCAGCGGCAGCAGCCTGCCCGCCTCGCCCAGCAGCGCCCACAGCGCAGGGTACGCGCCGCCCCCCGGGGGACCCTGCCTGCCGCCTGGCAAGGCCTCCTTCTTCAGCAGCTCTGAGGGGACCCCCTTCTCCGGGTCTGCCCCCACGCCCCTGCGCTGTGACAGCCGGGCCAGCACTGTCTCGCCGGGCAGCTACCTGGTGCCCAAGGGTGCCGCAGCCTCCTCTTCCTCCTCCTCCTTCCAGCCTTCTCCCGAGAACTGTCGGCAGTTTGCAGGGGCGTCGCAGTGGCCTTTCCGGCAGGGCTATGGGGGCCTGGACTGGGCCTCAGAGGCCTTCAGCCAGCTCTACAGCCCCGGCTTCGACTGCCACGTCAGCGAGCCCAACGTGATCCTGGACATCTCCAACTACACGCCGCAGAAGGTCAAGCAGCAAACGGCCGTGGCCGAGACCTTCTCCGAGTCGTCCTCTGACAGCACCCAGTTCAACCAGCCCGCGGGCGGCTTCCGGCGTGCCAACAGTGAGGCCTCGAGTAGCGAGGGCCAGTCCAGCTTGTCCAGCCTGGAGAAGCTGATGATGGACTGGAACGAGGCGTCATCTGCCCCCGGCTACAACTGGAACCAGAGCGTCCTCTTCCAGAGCAGCGCTAAGCCGGGCCGAGGGCGGCGGAAGAAGGTGGACCTGTTCGAGGCCTCGCACCTGGGCTTCCCGACTTCGGCCTCAACCACCGCTTCAGGCTACCCGTCCAAACGCAGCACCGGGCCCCGGCAGCCGCGAGGTGGACGTGGCGGCGGAGCGTGCGCGGGCAAGAAGGAGCGCGGTGGTGCCTCGGCCAAGGCCAAGTTCATCCCCAAGCCGCAGCCAGTGAACCCTCTGTTCCAGGACGGCCCGGACCTCGGCCTGGACTACTGCAGCGGGGACAGCAGCATGTCACCCCTGCCGTCGCAGCCACGCGCCTTCGGCGTGGGGGAGCGGGACCCCTGTGACTTCATGGGGCCCTACTCCATGAACCCGTCCACACCCTCAGACGGCACCTTTGGCCAAGGCTTCCACTGCGACTCGCCCAGCCTGGGGGCTCCTGAGCTTGACAGCAAGCACTTCCCGCCGCTGGCCCACCCACCCACGGTCTTCGATGCTGGCCTGCAGAAAGCCTACTCGCCCACCTGCTCGCCCACCCTGGGCTTCAAGGAGGAGCTGCGGCCCCCGCCCACGAAGCTGGCGGCCTGCGAGCCCCTGCGGCACGGGCTCCAGGGGGCTGGCCTGAGCCACGCGGCCGCAGCCCAGGCCCACTTGAGCTGCCGGGACTTGCCGCTGGGCCAGCCCCACTATGACTCCCCAAGCTGCAAGGGCGCCCCGTACTGGTACCCCCCAGGCTCAGCTGCCCGCAGCCCACCCTATGAAGGGAAGGTGAGCGCGGGGCTGCTGGCCGACTTCCTGGGCAGGACGGAGGCCTCATGCCTCAGTGCCCCACACCTGGCCAGCCCGCCAGCCACACCCAAGGCTGACAAGGAGCCACTGGAGATGGCCCCCCCGGCGCCCCCGCCCCCCCTGCCGGTTACGGCTGCCCGCTCCTCAGTGACTTGACCCTGTCCCCCGTGCCGAGGGACTCTCTGCTGCCCCTGCAGGACGCTGCCTACAGGTACCCGGGCTTCATGCCGCAGGCCCATCCCGGCCTGGGCGGGGGGCCCAAGAGCAGCTTCCTGGGACCCATGGCGGAGCCGCACCCCGAGGACACGTTCACCGTCACCTCCCTGTAGTGCCAACTGAAGTGCCGGCTGGACCGCGAGGTTTTGTCCCCGGGTGAGTGTGGAGTGGGTGCAGGGCAGAGGCGGGCTGGGCAGGGGTGGAGCAGGTGCTCCAGCAGGATGAAGGACGGCAGCCCGCGGCAGGACTGGGGCGGGCGGGGTGAGGGTGGGCGGCCTTGGGCAGAAGGTGGGTGTAGGTGGGCCATTCGGGGTACTGGGCTTCTTGTCTGGGCTGTCAGGTTTGTCCCTAGTTCAGGTGGCCTCGAGTGCCGGCCTCCCTCCAGAGCTTCACGACCACGACCCGTCCCCTCACAGGTGACGTTTGTGTCACCCTGTGAGCCAGGTAGAGGTAGCAAGCTGGCCCACCGTCCACCCAGGGCCTGTCCAGGGAGCTGGCTCGGCTGGGCACCGCCCACCCCGGGTCAGTTCCGGAGCGCAGTCTGGCCCTGGCCAGCGTCTGTGTCCGGACACCTTGGTCACTCGCTCTGCTAGAGGTTTCCACGTGGCCCTGCGACCTCTTGGCCTGTCCCCAGGGTGCCCCAAATGCCAGCTCTCAGCACCTTTGGCCTGAGGTCAGTGCTGCATGGGCAGGGGGGAACGGGGCTGGGTCGTTGCTGTCCCCAAGACCCTGTGCCGGCGGGTCAACCCGGGCAAGGCGTCTGTCCCCTAGTCCATGTGACTGAGCACCCAGTGGGGCCAGGCCATTGGGCATGCCTGTGGTTCGGTGCCGTGGGCTGGGGGTTGCAGTCCCACATGGCCAACAGCCGTTAGAGTCCTGGTCCCGGCAGCTTGAAAAACATGCCAGGCACACACACGTGTGTTTGTGTGTGCGTGTGCACGCGTGCATGTGTGCTCAAAATCCCGAGAGGAGAAGGGATTTCAGTGTGGCCATCCCACCCGGGGGCTGGGGTGATTTCTCATTCTCCCTCTGCCCCTCCCCCTGTGAGTACACGTGCCTTGTGGCAGAAATCTAAGTTGAACAAAACACAGGAAGTGCCTCCCCCTGCAAAAGGGAGCAGGGTTAAGGGATGGTTTTTGTGAGGATGACCCACCCAGAAACAGCCACGTCTGGGCCTGCTTCTGGACATCAGATCTGTCACTAGATTGACCCAGATGCATGTGGCCGCGGTGGGCTGAGGGCGGGCCAGCCCTCGCCCTTCACCCCTGCTGTCCCAAAGCCGCCTGGAGTCAGGGAGCAGAGGCTTCTGGACAGCCTCGTCCTTGCCCTGGGGAGGCCGTTCATGCTGGGGCAGCTGGTCCTGAATCGTGCTAGTGGGAGCCCCTCAGCCTCTGCTAGCCCCGTGCCCGAGGGCCACCTGGCCGGCCACCAGCTCGTCACAGGCTGCACAAGCTCTGCCCCTCTGGGCCTGTCTCCCCACCTGCTCGATGTCCCTGCGGGCTCCCGCCCCTCCCGTGGCATAGACCAGAGACCGGGCGCTCTTCTCTGGCAGCAGCATCTCCTTCCTGACAAAGCCAGGCCAGGGTTGAAATGGCCTCCACTCCTCATGCAGAGCTCTCGGTCTGAGACCAGGGAAGCTGCCTAGGGTTTAGAGTGTCAGACTTGATCCTTCTCACCGGAGGAGAGATGTCTCACAGATAATCCAGAAACGTGAATAATCCCAAAACCCTCGCTCCCAGCTCGGTAGGAAGATGGATGGGGTGAGGGGCTGGGAGCTGCGGCAGGCTGATCCTCACACCCAGGCTCCTGGCTCCATAGACCCCTGCACAGCGCCCAGAGTGCCAGGCTCGGCCCTGCCGGGGGCACACAGGGAGGGCCAGCCCTGGGGGCTCGGCTTAGAGGGGTTTGGTTCCGAGGCAGTCGGGGAGGAAGCATTTGGTGATTCGAGCCTCCGGAGGGGCTGGCCAGAGAAGGGGAGCGGCCACGGTAGGTCCGCGCAGTCCCAGGCCCGCAGGCTGCAGAGCTGACTCCTGGAAGACGGAGGGCCAGGTAGCTGGGTGGGTGGGAAAAGCATTCTGGCAGAGGGGCAGCGAGGCAGAAATCCTCAGAGCAGGAGGGACTTGTCTCAAGGAGGCAGGAGCCAGACAGCAAGGCGAAGTATGGACAGGCCGGCGGGGCCAGCTCATGGTTTGAACTTTCTGCAGGACGAATGGGGCGCTGCCAAGGGGTCCTCAGCCCGGGCACAAGGAGCCCCGGGTGGGCCAGTGTGGAGCAGAGACCAGATGCCTTGATGGGGCATGTATGACAGGGCATGGGGGGCAGCAGGCGGCCAGGGGCTCAGCAGGACGCCTGTGGGGGTACAGGGGAGGAAGAGAGACTCTCAGAGGCCGCTGCATGGCGGCACGCAGGACAGCGACTGAAACCACCGAAATGCGACCCGAGCCGGCCTTGGGCTGCTCTGTGCCTGGCCTGTGCCGGTGCTGGGGGACAAGACGCGCCCAGCACCCCCGGGGAGTGGGAACGTGGGGTGAGCTCAGCAACACATGGCTGAGCTGACGTCCGTGGCAGCCTGAGCAGCGAGTGGGCCTCGGCCAGCCACCTCATCCCGTTGGTGCCCTCCTATGACACTCCCTCCCTGACCCTCCACGTCCACAGGGAGGTTGGTGTGCTCCAGACAGGGCCCGTGGTGGACGGTGGGGCCGGGCGGCCACGCAGTTGCACTGGTCTGCAAGACGAGGGCTCTGGCCGCCGAAGCGGAGTTTAAATTTGTTTATTCATTTTCTTTGTGAAAGGGAGAGAGAGGAGAGCCCCTACCAGGATCTCAGCATGGGTGACCCACAGTGCACAGCTGGCCTGGGGTCATGGGGGTTCTGGAACTTTGACTGGAGCCTCCCAAGTCTCACAGGGCGTCATTCTCCTGCTGCCTGGCCTGGACCTGAAGGTTCTGCAGGAGGAGCTCAGCCCGGCCTCGTCTCAGGATGGCGAGACGTGGATGCAGGGGGACAGTGGGCTAAGGCTGTGGCCAGCGGAGGAGAGGGGCTTGGGCCCATGGAGATGTCTGCTCTGGTCTCCTCAGCGGAGGCAGAGCCAGGCAGGCTGAGTCAAGCTGTGGGCTGAGCCCTGCTAGACCCTGGGACAGCGAGCAAGGAGGGCCCTCGGGTGTTACGGGACGAGTTCTCCCCTCCCGTCGCCCTCTCAGACCTGGACCTGAGGCCAAGAGATGTCAGGCCTTCCAAGGCCGGGCCTGTCACCCAGGCCTGTCACCCAGGCCCAGCAGGCACACTCGGTGTCTGGGCTTTGTCTCCTCATGACTTGAGACCTCGAGAGGCCGCTTCACCTTACCTCTGACTCAGAGCAGGCGTCATGTCGGCCCAGCGGGGCTGCCTCCTCTCTGGCTTAAGCCCTTCTCCACTGTCTGAGGCCATCCCACCTCCGGGTTGGGTCTCGCCTGTGTGCAGCCGTGTTCAGGCCGGGCCGTCCTGCTCCAAGCCCTCGTCCCCTGGGCTCTCCCTTCTCCTCCCTCGCCACCCCCACACCCAGCAGGCTCTGAAGCTGGCAGATGCTGCTGTGTGGTCAGACAGGCTTCTGTGTAACCAGCTTGCATCTTACCAGTGGTGGCCTGGTGAGGCACGTCACCCTCTGCCTTGCCCTTGAGAATTAGGCGGAGTGGCATGTGGCTGCTGTATGGGCAGACCCTCGACAGCGCGGAACAGTCTGCCATGGGACCTATGGAGGGGGATCTGCGGTGACATCTTGTTTTCAGCTCGGAGACCAGGCCAGTCCTGGGCACCCCGGGGCGTGCTAGGTAACAGGCGCACCCCAAGGGACCTATTTTCCCAAAGCCTAGACCAAGGATGACTTGGGTCAGCCAAGAACCCTGTCCACTGTTCACCACGCAGCCCCGCCCCCGGGCCAGCAACCTGGAAAGGACTCCCGTGACCTGAGCTGCGTCGTGGCTTCCCCGGCAGGTTCGTGTCCTTGTCTGCGTAACCTCTGCTGCTGTGAGGCCGTTTGACACTTCTGGCCTCAGCCTCCCTGCCCACGGACTAATAGCGTGGCCTCCCCGCGTGGCGGTCAGCGGGCTCGAGGCCTTGGGCCCGATCCAGTCATAGTCTCAGCCCTGACGGCCCTCCTTGGGAGCTCTTGGGCTCCCCACCATGGTCTGGTCTCCCAGCTGTCAGTTCTGTCACTCAGACATCGCCTCCGCCAAGAAGCATTCCAGGATCCTTCCCAGGCTGGACTGACCGCTAGCCCTCCTTGTGCGTGACAGCCTTCTGGGCGTGCTCCCCATACCCTCACGCTGCCCCCTTTAAGCTGCTTACTCATCTCTGCACCACCCTGCGTCCACACCCCTGTCTCACCCAGGACTCTTCAGACCTTGTTTCCCCTTGAACCTGAGTCGGAGGAACCTCTTGCAGAGCAGAGCTGTGTGGGGAGATGAGCTCTGGGGAGTGAGTGTGGGTGAGCGTCACCCCAACGCCAGGAGGAACTGAAGGGACAGTGTGAGAACAAGCCAGCTCACACTCAGGACTAGCCAAGATGTTGCTGTCCGAGGGCAGGGTCCCCCGGCCACCACGGCCTGGCCTGCTGGAGACAGGATGGCACCTGTGGGCCCAGCCCTGTCCTTGCCCGTCCTCGGCCTCCTTCTAGGCCCACACTCCCAGCAGCTCTTGCCTCGGCCTCTGCAGCCAGGAGGGTGGAGGGGTGCATGGCCTCCTCCCAGGACGGGGCGGGCACACCTGGCCCTGAAAGGTGGGCGACCCAGGAGGGCCCACTGCCTCTGCCCCCAGTGACTGCTGGGAAGGCCTGAGGACTGTGTCGGCCAATAGTGGCCCTTCTTAGCGTTGACAAGAGGAACCCTACCCTGCCCACAGCCCACGGACATCTGGGGAACCCCCAGCCACCCACCTGATGGCATTTCTGCATCCCCGGGGTGGCCCGAGGCCCCAGGAGGCAGGCCCTGTTTCAGGAAACACAGGCCTACCTGGTGGAGGCGACCAGCCTTTGGGCAGCTGCGGCTCACCTCCGATACACGGCTCAGGCTTTCTCGCAGCGCCCAGAGCTTCACCGTGGACCACTTAGCCCTCATCTTAGGGACTTGAAGCCCAGGGAGGGGAGGGGCCCGGCTAGGTCGCACAGGCTTCCTGTCCTGCCTGTGGCCTCTGGTCACCTGGCACATGACAGGGAGCGGGTTCGACCTTGCCCTGGGTGGGTGGGTGTGCGCACACATCTGCTGGCCGTGAGAACGAATCCACATACATGTGCCAGGCCGGCAGCGCAGCCCCAGGTCCTTGACCCCAGCCTATGCTCCTGTGCTGGGCGCTGTGCTCTGCGGTGGAATGGCCCTGCTGGGCTCCCCGGCTCCACAGAGCCCCCAGGGCAGCCACCAGATTGGCTCTGCCCTGCCCCAGCTCCAGCCCCAGGCTGCCTGGCTGGCAGTCCTGCCTCTCTCTGCAGAGCTGAGCCCAGTGAGGTCAGGGCTGCTCACTCAGCCTCCTCCCTCCTGCCCGCCCCCACAGGACCCGTGGGCTCCACACTCCCTCCCCACCCCCAGATTCTGCAGAGTCTGGCCAAGTCCTGAGAGCTGGGGGCGGTGGGAGGAGGAAGGTGGGACAGGCGCTTAGCGGAAGGGAGAAGCCTCCTGCTGCCTGGCCGCAGGCTCCACAGAACGTTCTGGCAGGAGCCGCCTGCTGGGCTGAGATCACCATGGAGACCTGGCTTGGAGAGGGTCACCGGCAGTGGCTGGGTGGGGGCGGGGGCGGCAGGGTCTGTGCAGACTCCCAGCCTGCCCCGGGGCCTGCACTCAGCCGGCCAAGTGGCTTGGGCAGCCTCTCTGCCTCCCCCTCACCTGTCGTCCAGCGGTGGCCTGTGTGGCGGAGAGCCGCCCTCTGGCTGGACC